TATAATTTAGAAAAAGATAAAATAGTAGAAGAAATTAGTTTGAACTTGAATGATGGAATAAATATAATTTATCCTGTTGAGGATTATGATTATTAATAAAATCCTTTCGCTTTTGTTAAAGACACCAAAAGTATTTCATTAATTAATTTTAGAAACTATCAAATAGTAAGAATCATTGATTCTGAAAATGATAAATTAAATTGCTTAAGCTTGAAAAACATGAGAATTAGAAATGATGAGACAAATAACAGCTACAGAATCTTAGATATTTAAAGATAAAATGGGTTTTTATTTTTAAAACAAAGCGCTAAAATCAGAGAAATAATAATCTAATTGCCATGAATTTAAATTCTTAATTCCTTTTCATTTGTAGAGATTATTGATTTTAATCTATTTTTGCTAGTAGAGTTAAATGTAGTCACACTTTTTAACATTCCTGGAGCCATCCTTGTATTGAAAAATGCTATTATACATCTTTATTCGTTCTTGTAAAGGCATATTGCCATTCATGTGGCAAGCTTGATACTTCATTCTTATGATATTCAAAATCTACCTCTACTCTCTTTGTATTACTTTAAACTGCTTATCTTCAAGCTACTTGTAAAATCTAATAGCTGATCCCATGAAATTTCTAATGCAGTTACTCAGTGATACGTGACTATTATCCATCATATAAAGCGCAAAATAATAGTCAAGGATGATTTTATACAGTACAGATTCCTATATGTATTGATTCTTTAATATAAATTTACCTTCTCATAAATAAGTCTATTCTTAATTGTATACTTGATTTCCTGTATAGAGGGAAGCACATTCTCTTTGTTATAATATCCTCTTTAGTAAGACTTTATGATGTTCACTATTCTTTCACTGAGATATTGGTATATGTTGATTCCTTTCACAGGGATTAAAACCTATTTCCGACTTCTGTCTAACAAATCCTCTGACTCCACTTCACTTTAGTTGTCATCCTAACCTAAATCAATGCTTCCATTTTCAACTAGTCTTAAGAGTCTAGTTTACACAAGTAAAGTTAGAGGGCCACTATCCTTTATCAAATCTTTTTACTTTTAGCTTAATTTGCTGAAAATATCCTCAATCTCATTTTTCCAATTGGGATGCGCATTTTTACTCAGAAATTCTGGCTGGTTAAGTATTACATTGTTTTTGTAGTATAAAGTCCTCTCATAGTCTTCTTCCATTAAAATCATCAAAGCCTCATTCTCATCTGTGATATTTATCTATTCCCTATCAGCGATGGTCCTTTGAGGAGGTATTCTAGGTAAACTGTTATAGTTGTTTAATCTTAAACTTTAGGGGTGTAACTATTGTTAAAGCATTTGACTCAAAGTTGGGAAATTCTAATTGTTAAAGTATATTGATGTGTTAAAAAGCATTTGCTATCACTGCGATTGTTAAAGATATTAAGAGTCTAATTATAGTTATTAAGGCAATTCTTGCAATATGCTGAGCTAATTATTAGTTTAACTTTGATCTCTAAATTAAACTTATCTTTAATCTTAAACTGCTCTTTAAGCATTGCTGTTTTCAGTGGTTGAATTATTTCTATTCATTGTTCTTAATGATTCTTAAATTGCTTATGTGTTAAATATTCCCAGAGCATTATAAAATGCGTCATTCTCCTATTCTAAATTTTGTACAGAATTAGCTTGTCCCTAGTTACTGGATGAACTTTAATCTTCTTGTGTATTATCATTTGTTAACTATGAATCAATTTAAGCGTTTTCTTAGATGTTAAGTTCCATTGAGTCCTCATCTTCCTCTTCTATATTTTACTGATTTTGTTCAACACTCATAACTTAAATCAACTGCTCTGTAGTCTCTAATGACCCAAATTAATCAAAATATAAATACTCCTCCTATAAATCATTGTTATACACCTTCATTTTATTATTACCTCAAAATCCTGCAAGTTCAAGCTTCATCTTACTGTTCTTTCTCCTTCTTGTTCTTGTATATTTTCACTATGATTTTAAGCGCTCTATTCTCTTGAAACATTCTAAACTCAATTTCAGCTAATTACTAGTGAGCTTGGTAGCCTCACTTCCGTATTTTGCTACTCGGGCTGCACTATTGAAGACTCTGATCTTTCATTTGTAGTTTCACTTGAATAAGAAAACTATCCATCCTCCATTTGATTAATCATAGCTAATCCTTCTTCTCTTTCGTTTTCCAGTTATTCTAGTGTGATCAAATGCTGCTGAATTCGAGTACGCATCTGCTCAAAATTTTCAATATTCTATATTTCGTTAGGCTCAACCATTTATGAGTCATGAGAGGAAGATGATTATGAATCTTCATTTGCCTATTGAGATTGCGAGCTTTACTGTTACTGCCTTAAAAGTTCCCTAATCTAACCAATATTCATTTGACGAGTTTAAGCTATTAATAAAATTTGGATTTAATCAATCGAGTTCAATAATTGGTATATTGATATATCTAGAAGCTTATTTATTTTCAGTTTTCTAAATATCTAAAATTCTGGCAATAAGGGGTTTTGGGGTTTTGGGG